TATGAAATGATATAGGGTGCACTAATAATGGTACTTAATTTCAAGATACATTTGACAGATTCTATTTCGCGTACTTCTAATCTACATAATTCCGCATAACCGTTCAAATGACAAATACAGCATTTGAAAAAAAGCTACAGTAAAATATCAGTTGCAAAACTATTATAAACGGTTGGCGTGCCGATTGCCGGTGAGAAGATGCGTTTTTTGCGTAAGTTTTTGTCGCCAACGGCACCAGTTTTTCCTGCAGATGCTTCTAGCTAAACAAAATGAGACAGGCCGCCAGGACTGTCAGGAAAGATTTCCATAAAATTTCAGTTTCCAAGCTTTGCTGTTTCCCGAGTTAGCAACCTATACGTAAGTGGGAAACACGCATACCCCGTGTCTGAGTTTGAGCTCATTAACACCTACATTGATGAGGGACATCACCTTAAAATTCCAGCTTTCCAGGTTTTCTAGCTTCCGAGTTAGCGACTTACCCGCAAAAAACTTCCACGGGCCCGTACGTGGGAACCACGCATACTCGGGGGGTCTTTGAACTCATTAAGACTTACATGAGCGGGGAACATCCCTTAAAATTTCAGCTTTCTATCTTTTCTGGCTCTCGAGTTAGCAGCTAGCCCGTCAAAAACTTTGGCGGGCTCGTACGTGACTAACACGCGGGTAAGAGCGCCCACTTTGGGGACGGGGATCCGTAAACACATGTAGATTAAGTTCCCAAAGTTTCAGCCCTATAGCTTTTGCAGGCCTGAGATGAAAAATCGGTACAAACGCACAGCATACACTCTGACACAAACACACACAGACAACCCCTCGACTGTATTTACAGATACAGTGAGCCCAGCGCAAGCCGTTTCAACATCTTAAATACCTATTTTTTAGTGTTTTTTTTTTTTGCGTCTATGCAATGCAGAAAACGCATATTGATCACTGTCGGAGTAAGGAATAATTTACTACCTCCTGGTCCTGCAGTGCAACAATCACACTTTACTACAAAACTGTTTTAATTTCCGCGCCAAATATTAGACGACGCAACTTTGCGCTTCCTTCGCTTGCTATAAGCTATCATGTTTCCGAGCTTAAATGGATATACATCGAACCGGTCTTTTTGGATGTTTAGTACCGACTCACCGATTCAATATTTCGTTTGAGCGCTGAGCGTTCTCGTTCCATGCGTGCACGGTGTGCATCAAATTCACGATGTTCCACCTCGGCTCTATTCAATCGCCGTCTGAATTCCTCGTTTTCCGCGGTAAGTACTATTTTCTCGGATCGCAGCTGCTCTACTTCCATTCGAATCTCTTTTTCCAGTTGTTGCGCTTCTTTTTCTCTCTGTAAATTACGAAGAAAAAAATTATTTTGTACGATCTGAGTCTTCTCCCGAACGGGCAAGGTATCTCAACATAAGCAGAGAATGGCAAAATTTGCATGTGTCACTTAATATAATACATTTTAATACTTTATTTGGAATATCTGGAACAGCGGTAATTAAATACATTTTAATATTTTAATTTGACATATTCATTAGATAAATTACTTGGCCAGGGAACACCGTCTGAACAGTAAGGCCAACGATTATTAAGAAAACCAAAACCATTTGGAAATTTAACGAACAACATGCCCTGCCATCGGAATTTGTTTTCTCATAGGCCGCACTCACAAGTACGCGATATCCATCGGTCAACAATAAGGTGGGCAACGCGATGTGTCCATTACTTTTTCGGGTAACAGAGGGACATTTTCTGGGCTTTTCAATTGATGGAACAACTACTCATTTATTTGGAATATCTGGAACAGCGGTAAATTCAGAATCTCGATCTTCTTGGCAATCCGACAATTTCTGCTTTGTTAATCCAATTCGAATTAGTGGATAAGCTTAGCGTACCGGTTGCAAAAAATACACTCATTCCCTTCTCTACTAAGTAATACTTCTCGAGTTAGCAGACAAAAAAAGCAGTTGAAAATCAAAAAAGAATTAAATTTTTTTCAGTAAGTTTAAACTAATTTATTTTTAATCCAAATTCTATGGGCAGAAAGACACAAATTTTAATAAAAAAGAAAAACTGGAAAACGTGGTATAGAAATCACAAAAATGAACAAATTGCTGGTTTCCATTAACAAAACGCTTAC